GTGCCTGCGCGAGCTCCTCAAGGAGTTAAAGGTGGAAAAGAGCAGGTCGTGGACGAGAAACAAAGAAAACAACTGCTGGCAGGGAGGGCAGGACAGAGGGAAGCAGGCTCAGAACATGAGGGCAATCGAAATAATGCTGGACGCGGTCGCCGCCAGCAGCTCGGCAGCCGAAGCGACAGGTAAGACGGCCTTGCCTATACCTGGCAGAGGTCGCCCACGCGTTGCAGATGGTTTTGAGAATGGCAGCAGCCACAAAAGGGCCGACGCGCGTGCAGGCAATTCTGAGCCTGAGCACAGCAAGGTCGATACTAGAGGCATTAACCAGAGGAAAAGCGAAACGAATTCGGTTGCCCAGGAGAAAAACCGCGGAGCAACTGGGGGCCTCAGAAATCAACTTCTTCAAAATCTGTTTCTGCAACTCGTGAGTGTCCTCATCGAAGTGGTTCCACGGCAGGGCTGTTAGACGCTCGTAGTTGTGAATCAGATGGAAAACAATGGACTCGGCACGCCATGTCGGGAACCGCTTGACCATTAGAACATCCCAGTCATCTTCCTCAAGCTCGTGAAATCGCCTCCGAATGCTGTCAAAAACCTTGGATCGAACAGCGACCCGATACATGGCAGCCTGATTCTCCAGCACGAGGTTGCGCGGGGCAATGGGCCACTGCAGCGCCGACGAGAGATTGCGGAGGAGATCGGTAGGAATGCTGTAGAACGGGCACGCGGTGAGAGTCTGCAATCCTTTTGTTCCCATGCGAAGCGCATCCTGCGATATGTAACATAGCTGCATCACGAAGGTGAGGACCGAGAAGGCCAGGGAATTGTATGCATAAATACTCTGAGTAAGCCCAAGACGAAGCGACCGAACATGACGGACCCGACAAATATATTTCTGAAGCGGAGCGGACCAGGATTTCTTGTAACCACCAGGGCCCAGGAAAACACCCAAGACTTTGCCACTGGTGCCGTGCATGCGCGAGCGAACGTTAGTGCGAACAGTTTCGAATAAGGCGAAATGCTGGTCATCTGGCATCTCTTGCGTGTGCACGATCATACACTTGGCAAGGTTCAAGAGCAGGCCAGTACATCGGCTGGACCTAATAACATTCTTCAGCACAATCGGAACAGCTAGCAACAGGTTGGATGCCGAGATCTGGATGTCATCTGCAAAGGCACGGGGTGAAGCACAAACTGGAGCTAGCAAGTTAGATAATCGGCGCAGCAGCGGGTCGATGCATAATGCAAATAATGCACCCGACAGTGGACATCCTTGTTTAATGCCTTGGGTGATCGAGTAGCCTGGAAACTTTTTGCCTGCTAGGCATATGTGTGTGTAGATGCCTGTGTATAGGAACCGAATGGCATTCACGATATACATGGGAATATTCATCATGATTAACACATCTATGATCCAGTCGTGGCGCAGCGACGGGAACGCGGCGCGGAAATCCAAGAGGAGCAGTCCTGCGTGCGGCATGCCACGATAGCAGGCATATTCAAGAATGTCTGCCTCAAGGCAGAGCAAGTTGTCGAGCATAGACCTCTTGCGCACGAAGCCCGTCTGGGAGCCTAGGACGCTGTACTGGCATTGCTGGCTAAATGGTTCGCATATGGCCAAGGATACTATTTTGTTATCAGTATTGCTGAGGGCAATAGGGCGAACCACAGACGCTTCCCGAGAGATCTCAGAGGTTCCAGCTTCGTGCGGGTGGATGGCCTTTGGGAGGTACACCGTGAGGGACTCGTTGAAGCCTTTATGTGGGGGCCCATATGTAGGATTGTCCAAAATAGCGAGATAAACTTGATACAAAGCATTGTGAGCGGCGTCGCCAGCGAACCGCCATGCGCTGTATGCGATGCCGTCGGGGCCAGTCGCGCTGTCCTTGCGGCCGACGAGCTTACCTATGAAGCTATGCAGGTCGAGCGTCCACTCGATACCTGGGGCAACCTGCTGAATCTCACTGCTCAACAGTGTCTTCTGGAAGTGGTATCCCCTGTCCTGAGGCTTCGCGGCATGGGCCCGCCCCCAGTGCGACGCAAGATTCTGAGCACTGACCTCCAGGTCAGGCGAAGGGCACCCGGTGGGGTCGGGGACGGAAACCAGAACAATACGGCGCCTTTTGGGAGACCACTGTCGCAGAAGCTGGTGCAACCTGAGGCCTCGATCGTCGTCGGGGGCTCCGCCGCCTTCGACGTGTTCGCGAATTTCTCGCTGGAGAAGAGAGTGCTGAAGCTCGGCCATTTCACGATGAAATGACACCGAATCTCTAAAACAACATTCATCAGCATGAACATGTAGACTAAGATGAGGAATAGCCTGGATACACCTCCGAATGTCCCAAGACTTGCCATCCCGAACAGCCCGAAGAAACTTAAGGTAGACCGATAACTTCTGCGCGTCGTTGTGGGGGCCTCGGAAGAACATGCGAGTCATCAAAGCATCCTTGGCAACATACATCGCGTCTTTGACGGACAGGAGGTATTCGAACGGGCCCCTGGGCATTTCAACCGAACCAATGGCAGCCTCAACTTCAGTACCAAAATCAGGATGTTTGGCAATCCAGGAGGGGATCGTCGGGGTTGTTCTGCCGCCAGGCGAAAACTGAAGCCAGACAGGAATATGGTCGCTCGGCTGGGCGACATCATGAGCAAGACCTATGACTCCGCTCCGTGGAGTCGCATCTAGAATGTCGGTGGTGGCAGAAGATATGTAGAACCTGTCCAAGCGTCCAAGGCTAAGCGCACCGTCCTCCCTCCTCCCAGACCGATGAGTGGGCTCTTGTTGGGCAACTTCAGCGAGGTGTCCGAAAACTTGAGAAAACATATGCAGAACAGCAGTCCTCTCAGGGGTGGGTTCCCTTCCGTCTGTGAACGTCCTCATCTCCCCCATCCTCCAAGAAGTTAAAATCGCCTCCCAAGATGACAGTGGCCTGATCAGCAGGCAGAGCGTGAGCAGCAGCAGTGCGGATCACACGATCCTTCTCAACGTCGGAGAGGGTGGGGTCGAGGCGAAAGTTAATCAATTGCAACGTGCCTTTCTCGCCTGTTAACGTAACTGCAATGCATCGTCCATCGATAATGTTTTCAACGTGGATGTCCTGAAAGAGCTGGAGTAGGGAAGGATCAATAGACATGGTAACGCCTCCCGCCGCCGCAGAAGAGCAAAACGAGCCAAAGTGCGTGTGAGCTGGCACGTCACGATCCAGCGAGGAAAGATCTTCTTGGGTCCCGTGGGTTTCCTGCAAAAATACTACTTGAAAGCGGTGTACAAGACTTCTGAAAATCTGCTGTTTCCGATGCTGTCTCTGTGGATCGCCATACACACTGCCAAAAAATGCACGAGTATTCCATGAAGCAAGACCCACAGTGCGAGAGATGACAAATGGATGCCGCTGCTCAGCAGGAGCAGCATCACCTCCCCCAGGAGAAAGTGGAACAGGAAGGTAAGGATCAAGAATAGCTGGCGCATTCTCGGGAAGAGGAGAGTCGGGCAAAATCGAGGTGGCCTCCCCCCGTTCTCGCAGAAGGGCTCGCAATCGTTCAGGATCGAATTCATCATCGCTGTCGCTCACAGGTACTGGCTCACTCCGCCCCTATTCGCGGCGAAGCGCAGCAGTGACCAGCTCGGGCAGCTTGTCGACTTGCTCGTCGGTGAAGCCGTATCGCTTCAGGTTGCCCCGGTTGGGCTCGACGTTCGGGTTGTCGGTCTCGAGGACGTTCTGCAGAACGACGAGCTCGTCCACGAGGTCGCCGTTGACCAGGAAGCAGAGGCCCATGTACTTGTTGCAGCGTAGCTGCGAGTCAGGTCGCCAAGTGCCAGCATCAACCATGACTTGCTTGATATGTTGCCAGACCTGGCCCAGCACCCAGCCCTTCTTGCGGACATCGATGAGTTCGTCAATGCCAACTCGAAAACGATGCCGAAAGCCACTGCCATCTCCCTATTCTAGTGTCATGGCACGCAGCTGCAACAATGCATTCTTGGCGTCGTCGGCGTTCTCAAAAATGATGACGTAGGCGTACTTGCAGCTCTTGGTGATAGCGGTGCACCTGTCGCGGTAGGTGGGCGAGAGAAGGGTCTTCAGGAATTCGAAGTGCTTGTCGAAAGCGGAGGCCATCAATTTGACAGGAAACCCTCGCACCCAGAGCTTGCGCCTGTCAGCAGGCGCGGCGGTCTCTCCACGGGGTGTGGTTGCGGTCCCCCAAGTGCTGGCACCGCCAGATTCCGTAGCCATTTTGGCTCAAGGTCGAAACGTTTCCCTGGCGCTTCGACCTTGGTCGCAGCCGACGGGGAGCTCGAGCTGCTTTGGGAGGCGCAGGGCCTTCGGCAGGGTGTGCGCGGTGAAGGTGCTTCTATTAGCCCTGTCAGATCCAACTTTCTAGTAGGTGATCTGGCAGCCGCGATGGCCGCCACTCTCTCCATGGACCAGAAGATGGATCAGTTGTTGGCGTCGATGTCCACCGTCGTAGCCACCGTCAACGCCCACGACGCAAAGTTCGCCAGCCTCGCCAAAGACATGGAGAGCATGAAAACCGACATGCGCAAGGAGGTGGACACCAAGTTCGAGCTCATGCAGAACCAGATCACCGCCCTGCAGCAGCGCAACGTCCACAACACAGGCGGCGAGGCCTCTGACGACATGGTCGACACGTGCCTCACGGTCTCTCTGCTTAGCGCTCAGACAGACCAGAAGATCAGCGTCATCAATGCCGCATTGGAGGAGCTGAAGACCTCAGTTGCTTTGGTGATGGTGATGATGATGATGATGATGATGATGAGGATGAGGATGAGGATGAGGATGATGAGGATGATGATGATGATGATGATGATGATGATGATGATGATGATGATGATGATGATGATGATGGTGGTGATGATGATGATGATGATGATGATGATGATGATGATGATGATGAATGATGAGGAGGGTGAAGGCTGTGATGGCGGCGGAAACAGGAGAGAAGGAGCGATGCCTCATAATGTGTCTTTGCGTTCTTCTGGAATTCGCTGGAACCTCAAACAGTTCAGTATAACCATTGAAAGCCTTACGCAATTCAAGATAACTCAGCGTTTGAGGTAGCGCAAGAGGTTGGAAGGTCAGCACGGAAGGTCTGGAAGAATGAGGTGGAGGGAACGCCGATCCCGGGGAAGGGGTCCGGACCTCTGGGAGTCGACGTTGTGAAACAATCGCGGCGTCTTGGGTTTAGGTCTCGTCCGCCCTTCCTCTTCTCCTCCACCCAGACCATGTTGGCAAAAGCGGAGCCTGTACATAATGTTGATACTGAACATACTTCGTCGCCGCTGGTGCTGGCCGCTGGGAAAAGAGAGGACGGACAAGAACGACTAAACGATCAAAGGCACATGCCTACAGCGGCGGATGTGCGCAACTGCTGCCGGATAAACATCGTACGGACGATCTGATCGGTCCGTTCGGAGCAGTGGGTCTGGCCTGGATCGACAGACAACTCGGGCGTAATCAAGCAGGGGTGCAGAGGTAGTCTTGATGAAGCAGCGCATCCTTACGATGGATTTGGACTGCAGGAGGCAACTCCGAAGTCTTAGCGAGCTAAGGCTGACTATTCATTAGGAAGGATCAAAGGGCCACGGAGCTGGACTCGCCAGCATTCAGCCCAATATTACAATAAGCTGTATGGATCCTAATGAAAGGGGATGCTGCCAAATTAGGCCGTTTCGGCCACGGATCTGCCAGCGCCGATGTTGACCTTAAACTCCAAGAGGTGGGCCACGATGGCCTTAAGACGGTCCAAGATGCTCCCGAGCACCCAACGAGGGGCCCGTGAGGACTCCCAAGAAAGCCCCAAGACGCAAAATGCGATATGTAATCTCCATAGGAAGATCACAAGTTTTAGCACTCTCACAATCTCGGGCATCAGAACGCTCAAGACGGCCGAAAGCCCCAAACATCGCCCGACGAAAGTCAAAGAGGCCCTCGAGAAGGCCCCAAGATGGCTCCAAAACGGCACAAAAAGCCACAAACTCTGTCCAAGCGGCCTCAAAAAGGGCAACAGGGGAGGATGAGCGAAAATGCCATGAGAACCGTTGCCCCTAATATGACCCCCAAGACCTCAAACATGCCTCGACGAGCCCCGCAAGCGCGCCTAATAGGACCCAAGTGACTCCGAAGAGGCCCTCGAGAGATCTCGCAAAAGACTCCTGAGGCACCCCAATAGACCGCCACAAGCATCCAAGATGCCTCTGACCCACAATCCAGGCCCGGTGGCGGTATGGGCTGAAGGCCGATAGATCCGCCGCCCCCTGTGGTCTTGCTGCATGGGTGCCCGGCGTGCTAGACTTCCATTGTGACCCAACATGGCCTCCTAGACGGCCAGGATGGCCTCAAGAGAGCCCAAGATGGTTCCACGATGCACCCAAGACGGCGCAAGATGCACTCAGGCGGCCAAATATGGCCTCAAGATGGCAAAAGACGACCCAAGAGGCCTCCAAAAGACCTCCAAGATGGCCCGAAGAGGCCTCCAAAAGGGCCTCCAGGAAAGCCCGGGGAGGCAAACATCAGTGATTTTCTAAATAAGTGGTTGACAGATTTGGGCAGTTCTTTCTCTTCGGCTTTCCGACAGCCCAAGACGGCCCAAGAGCCCCCCCAAATCGCGCCAAGATACACCACGAGGTTTTCAAGATGGCCCCATAACGGCCCAAAAGGCTCCCAAGACGGCCCCTAGAGGCCTTCAAGACGCCCAACACGGCCTGCGAGACGGCCTTGAAACACCCACGAGCGCCCGAAGTCGGTTCAGAGAGGCCCCAAGACGCCTGCCGACGACGTCTTGGGGTCCAGGAGCGCCCTAAGACGGCCAAAGAGGCCCCCAAGAAGCCCCGAAAGGCTCCCAAGAGGCCGAAGGAGGCCCCCAAGAGGCATCCAAAAGGTCCCGAGGAAGCTCCCCGGAGGCCCGAAGAATGCCCCGAGTTTAGGGGAACAAAAAGTTACATAAACATAAAAACTCGGAGGTCCGCGCGGATTTCTCGGATCGGCGCTGGACCCCCTTTCCTAGCGCGCGGAGCGCGCCAGGGGCGGCGCCGGGGGGCCCCAGCGCCGATCCGAGAAATCCGCGCGGACCTCCGAGTTTTTATGTTTATGCCACTTTTTGATCCCCTAGAGTGGCTCCCAAGAGGCCTCCTCCTCTTCTTCCTCCCTCTCCTCAGTCTCCTCATTCGTCCTCCCTCTCTTCATCCTCCTCTTCCTTCCCCTCCTCATCCTCCTCTTCCTCCCCCCACGTGTTCCACGAGGGGTTCTCACAACGGCGCGGGGAACGCACGGTCCAACAGCGTGCCAAAACGTTGCCCAAGAGTTTGGCCGCACAGGCGTACCCTAAGAGAGACAGAAGGGGGCGGCGGGGCCTCCTCGGGCCGTCTGCAGGAGGCCACCTTGGGCCGTCTTGCGTGCATCGTGGGCCGTTCTGGAGAAGGACCTCGAGGAGGAGGAGGAGGAGGAGGAGGAGGAGGACCTCGAGGAGGAGGAGGAGGATGAGGAGGACCTCGAGGAGGAGCAGGAGGAGGAGGAGGAGGAGGAGGAGGAGGGCCTCGAGGAGGAGAAGGAGGGGGAGGAGGAGGAGAAGAACGAGGGGGAGGCCGCAATCTTGAGCTTTCTCAGAACCGCCCCGGCCGTCTTGGAGGCCACCCGAGCCGCCTCGGAGGCCACCTCGGGGCCAGCTTGGGAGGGGGGAACCCGATGGACTCCACATCTTCCCCCATGCTCCTCCTCCTCCTCCTCCTCCTCCTCCTCCTCCTCTGCCTCCTCCTCTCCTGGGTGCGGCCGGCGGGCTGGGACGGCCGAGACCCCACGGGGAGCTCTTTCGAGAGGAGCCCCCCCCCTCTCTCCCAGGCATCCGGCACGCCGCGCACCCCCGTGGCAAGCCAACGGGGGCAAGGGGGGACCGAAGACGCCAACGGCGAAGCACCCAGGAGGCTTACAAGATGGCCCAAGAGGTCCCCGAGAGGTCCTCCAGAAAGGGCGAAGAGGCCCAAGTCATTGACTTGCATGTGGTTTTTGTTGGCAGATGTTGGCATTTGCCTCTTCTGAGCCTTCCGACGGTCCAAGACGGCCCAAGAGGTCTCCAAGATCGCCCCAAGACTACCACAGAGCCTTCAAAGATGACCCACGACGGCCCGAGGGGCTCCCAAGACGGCCCAAGGAGTTCCCAAGACGGTCGAGATGGCCTCCCAGACGGCCCTGCAGCGCCCCACGAGGGCCCCCCGTCGGTTCCGAGAGGCCCCCGGAGGCCCGAGGGCGGTGTCCGACGTCCGACGGCGTGCGATGGGCGAGGGACGCCCTCAGACGGCCAAAGAGGACTCCAAGAGGCCCTCAAAGGTCCCCCCCAGAGGCCTCCAAGAGGCCTCCAGCCTCCAGGAAGCTCCCAGGGAGTTCGAAGAGTGCCCGAAGAGGCTCCCGAGAGGACTCCTCATTCTCCTCCTCGTGCTTCTCCTTTTGTTGTCCCTCTCCTCCTCCATGTGTTTTCCGACGGGGTTTCACAATGGGTCGGGGAGCACGTGGTCCGATAGCCAGTCCAAGCTCTGGACCCAACGCTCGGCCACATAGGCGTCTCCAAAGAAGCAGGGGGCGGTGGTGGTTCGCCGTAGGCGACTTCGATACATGACTGTCAATCTCACGAATAGCAGGGTCATCGAATATGAAGATTGTGGTACAAATCTTTGTAGCACGGCGCATGCTTTCTGACGTTTTCTGTCGCCCGCCAGCGAGACTTGCAATCGCCAATTCTCTGCCCCGTGTACCGTGCCTCGATGCCAGCGCTCTAGAGAGCTGGCTAGTCGGAGTCGCTGTCGACGACAGCTCGCCGCCTCGCGGCAGCGCGCGCAACGCCGTCGGAGCTGCTGCTGGTACCCGCCGCGCTCTTTCTGACTGGCTTCGTCGCCTTGGTCACGTCGTCACTGTCGGACGTCAACTGCGAGGTAGGCCTCTGGGCTTGCTTGGTCGAAGTGGGCGCGTCATCGCTGTCCGACGATCGTAGAAGAAAAACACACATCAACATAAACTTTTGGTGCTCCGCGCGGATTTCTGGGATCCGCGCCGGACACCCCTCCCTGGCGCGCGGAGCGCGCCAGGAGCGGCGCTGGAGGTGCCGCTGGATGGGCCCAGGCGCGGGTCCAAGAAATCCGCGTGGAGCGCCAAACTTTGATGTATATGTTTTTTTTCTTCTTCGAGATAGTCCCGACGCTGCCTTCCGGACCGGCTTGGTCGTCGTGGGCACGTCGCTATCGGACGTCATCGCCAAGACTTTCCCTGCGCCTTGCCTGGCCGCGGTGGGCGCGTCATCGCTGTCCGACGATAACCCAGAGGTTGCCTTCTTGACTGGCCTGGCCGCCCTGGGCGCGTCGCTGTCCGACGTCATCACCAAGGCCTTCCTCTCGCCTTGCTTGGCCAGATTGGGCACGTCATCGCTGTCCGACGACAGTCCCGAGGTTGCCTTCTTGACTGGCCTGGTCGCCCTGGGCACGTCGCTGTCCGACGTCATCACCGAGACCTTCTTCTTGAGCGGCGGGGCAGCTTTGGGCACGCCATCGCTGTCCGACGACACCCCCGAGGTGGCCTTCTTGACGGGCTTGGCCTGTTTGGCCACGTCATCGCTGTCTGACGTCAGCCCCGAGGTCGCCCTCCTCACTGGCCTGGGCGCCTTGGGCTCGTTGTCGCTCTCCGACATCAGCTGCCCACCCTGGTGAGTCGTGGCTGGCTTAGACGGCTTCGGCTCGTCGCTGTCCGAAGTCAGTTCTGCACCTGGGCGCCCCTTCTTGACTGGCTGTGACGGCTTCGGCTCGTCGCTGTCCGACGTCAGCTGCGCCGAACGGGCCTTGGCTGGCTTGGACGCCCTGGGCTCGTCGCTGTCCGACGTCAGCTGCGCCGTGCGACGCTGGGCCGGCTTGGACGCCTCGGGCGCATCGCTGTCGGAGGACGGCTGCGCCGAACGGCCTTTTGCCGCCCTGGACGCCGCGGGCCTGTCACTGTCCGACGCCAACTGCGCCGCACGTGCCTCCAGGGGACCGAAAACGCACCGCTAGGCGCCGCTCCTCCCACGACCTCTCCGGGAAATGCGTCCAGCCCTGTAGGACTTCGAGGCGAAGACTTCGGCGGTGGCGACGAGGGCCTCCCAGGAGGCAGCCAGGAGGGGGAAGACGAGGGCAGGGGAGCGGTCTATGGGTACACGTCGTTCATATCTCATCGTGCTCATTTCTCCCTGTGCTCGCCTCTGATTGCCCCCGGCCCCCCAGCAGCCAGGAAGAGGCACAGGATAGAACAACCCGAAAGGAAAGGATCCTGCCCCCTCCGAAAAATCCAAGAACCTCCGAAGCATCAGCAATGAACAACGTGTACCCTCGCCCTCATTCTTCCAGACCTTCCGTGCTGACCTTCCACACTCTTGCGCTTCGTGAAACGCTGACGTTTCTTGCGTTTCCTGAGGCTCATAATAACTTCAATGCATCACCTTCCGCGCCTTCCGCAGAGGTCGGAAGGTATGGAAGATGGAGGTGGAAAGTACGCCCTTCCCTCCTCGGAGTGCCTTGGCCGGCCGGGGCGCCTCGGGCCCGTCGCTGCCAGACGCCGGCGGCGCCGAGCGGCCCTCGGCCGCCAGCGCCGGGGCCTCGGCGGCGCCAGGCTTGGCCGCCGCAGGCCGCGCGGCGCGGCGCGGGGAGGCCGCGGCGCGCTGACGCCGGAGGGCCCGGCGGCGCACAGGGGCGGCCCTGCGGCGTGAGGTGACCTCTGGTGCGCTGCCCTGCAGTTTCGGGTGTTTTGGCGGCGCGCACAAAGGGGGTGGGGGGAGGGGGGAGGGCTTCTTAGAAGGAGGCTGCTTCTCAGAAGGCACCGGCCTCACGTCTACAGATCAAGCCCGCGCCTCCTAAGAAGCAGGGGTGCTTCTAAGAAGCCCTCCCCCCTCCCCCCACGCCCCTCTGCGCGTGGCTGGGTGTTGCCAGAAGTGCCCCTGCAGCCCAGGGTGCCCCCCCAGGATCCTCGGGGCGGCCCCAGGGCGGCCTCCAGAGCACCCCTCACGAGGCCCAGCGGGCCCCACGGTGGCTCCAGAACGGTGCGGCAAGCCGGGGGCACCTCGGGCCAAGGGCACTTCTCTGGCAGCGCCCGATGGTTGGGCGATGTCGAAGACCCCGACCCTGAGACCCTGGCGTCTCAACTGTTTCTCGAGCCGGGCGTTTTTTATCGCTCTCTCGTTCGGGCCCCCAGGGCCCTCGCCTATATCGATCCGGCTCGGAAAATGTCGCAGAAAGACGGGTCCAGGGCCCTGGGCGTAATCTTTTGCGATGTTGCAACTTTTTCGTTACGTCGGATCTCAGGGGAACCCAACAACGTTTTCATCTCTTGGGGCCGCATGTGTCACTTTCGCCGCCGTCTGGAAGCGCCTGGAAGCCTTGAAAGGCTGGCTGCATGCTGGCGTGCATGCCGCCTCTGTCGGGCTGGCACCCGCGATAGCAAAGATAAAACATGTGGGCGATTTCGGAAACCCTGAACTCCAAGCCCCTGCAAACGGGGCATTAGTAAACGGGGTGGTAGCTCATGGGCCTCTTCAAGCGAGAACGAGGTGACAGGGCATTTACCTCGCACTAGTGCGTGATACATCGGAACGACAAAAAACGTCGACGCATCATCATAACTCTGGGCGGGTGGGTTTACCTCGCACCTGTGCGCGGCGACTCAATTTCTTGAAACCACCATTGGAAACCCACCCTTGGCTACCAGCCCGTTTACAAACGCCCCGTTTGCAGGGGCTGGGGAACTGAGCGCCCGAGCTACTCGGAGTAACTCGGGCCCGGGGCAACTGGGGTTCGCGGATTCCCGAAGAACCAACCCGAGTTAGCCCTGACCCGAGTTACCCCTGCTGATTTGGGGCTCTGGACGCCCGAGTTATCCGGGGTAGCTCGGGCCTGGAGTAACTCGGGTTCGGATTCCCGAAAGACGAGCCCGAATTAATTAGCCCTGACCCGAATTACCCCTGATGATTTGGGGCTCTGGACGCCCGAGTTGTCCGGGGTAACTCGAGCCCAAGACAACTCGGGTTCGGATTCCCGAAAAAACAACAACACCGAATTAGCCCTGACCCGAGTTAGCCTGGATGATTTGGGGCCCTGGACGCCCGAATTATCCGGGGTAACTCGGCCCCGGGGCAACTCGGGTTCGGATCCCCCAAAAGACGAACCCGACTTGGCCCTGACCCGAATTTTGTCCCTGATCGTGTGAGGCTCTGGACGCCCGAATCATCCGGGGCAACTCGGGCCTGGGGCAACTCGGGCTTTGGATTCCCCAAAAGACGAACGGCAGGTTCGTGTCGTGCCGACCCCAGCGTTGGTTTTTGACACCGCAGGGATCGTTCAACCTTGAACGATCGGCCGCTGCCGCAACGTCCGATCGTTCAACATCGATCGATTCTGGGTCGCCGGCGGCGTTCAACCTTGAACGTCCGCGCTGGGGTCGCCGCTGGTCGACACGACGCAGACCTACCGAACCCGAGTTGGCCCTGAACCGAGCCACCCCTGACGATTCGGGCCCTCCGCCGCCTTCCGCCGACCCTCCGCCACGGCTTCCGCCGGCGGCGGCGGCCTCGTTCTACTTATTGTGGGTCGGGCACGTCCCCCTACCGGCGGATTTTGGACGAAACATGAAACGACTCAGCAAGCGCCCCAGATAGTCAAACAGATACTCCGAACATCGTCCCAATCCTATTTCGGGACTACTCTTGAATATTAAAACATCGGGATAAATCGCTCCAGAGCGTTCCGGAGCGCTCTCAGAGCGTTCCGGAACGCTCTGGAGCGGCCGCGGCGCCCAATACATCCTCGAAACCCGCCGATTCTCAGAGATTTCGAGTTATCCCGATCCGATTTTGTCCCGATCTTCGCGTCGTTTTAATTATCCCTCCTGTAGAGGGACAGGCCCGACCCAAGTTTGCCCCCCGCCGCCCTTCCGCCGCTGGCCTCCGAGGCAGAGGCGACCACGCCTCCGATCCTCGCAGGCCTAAGGCCCAGTGTGGAGCGCCTCCTTCGGCGGCGAGCGCGGGGCCCTGGAAGACGGCATATAAATGATTTAGACGCGCGGCGCGTCCAACGCGCTCTCGCTGCAATTCACAGCATGTCGTTGCTCAGATCTGGAGGCGGACTTGAAGAGTTCAGAGTCGCAGAATGTGCAGGGCCTCCCGCGCCGGAGCGCCGACGATTTAGACATTCTCTCTTGTCTTCCAGGGGGGGGGGGGAGTGAGAAGGGGCGGGCCTTCTCGGAAGTTTCGGGGAAGTCCCCCGGTCTTCTGCGACCTTCTCTCTGAGCCTTCCCCGAAGGCACAGAGAGCTTCTCAGAAGGCGCGCGGTGCTTCTGAGAAGTCCCGCCGCCTTCTCAGACGGCTTTCTCCTTCTCATTCCCCCCTCGCTCGCCGCCGAGGTAAGACGAAGCCAGGACGAGAATCAAAACCAGTGATGATAAAAATCGGGGACCTCTGAGATCCCGCGGCTCTGGGGGACGTCTTGGGCGCCGCGGCCTTCTCCGAGCGTGAGAGCGTTCCTGACTACCTACCAGACCACCCCAACCCAACCCGAAGACCCGAACTTGACCCGAATTTCGGGTTGGGGGGGGTACGGGCTCCATGTGTCTTTTCAAGGCTCTCCGACCCCCCCCCCCACTAGGAATGGGGGGCAAATCGAGGCCTTCGGGTTGGGTTGGGGTGGTTTGGTGCGTGGTGAGTTCCGGATTGCTCGGGGACAAACCGATCGCCGTCCCGGCCCCGTCCAAGCTGGAGCGCGGCCCCCCAAGGGAAGGCCGCGGAGGGGCCCCCGGAGCCGGGCGCGCGCAGCAACTGCGCACACGAAGACCTGGTCGGGCACGGCCCCCTACAGGCCGAGTTAATGGACGAAAAACTAAACCTAGTCAAACATACTCCAAACTGCTCCACGAGTGCTCGAAAAGTCGTGCCCGGACCACGCTTGGACCATTGTTGGATATTCCACGGGGGGCGCGCCCGACTTGGCTCCGAGAGCGTTCTGGAACGCTCGGGGACAAACCGGGCGCCGTCCCAGCCCCGTCCGCGCTGCGGCGCGCGGCCCCTCCAGAGGAGGGCCGCCTGAGGGGCCCCCCCGGAGCCGGGCGCGCGCGCAGCAGCCGGTGCAATGGGGGGGAGCCCCCCGTGCGCCCGCGCGCAGACGTGGTCGGGCACGTCCCCCCACAGGCCGAGCTTGGGCGACAAGCTAAAAACTAAAGGGGAACAGAAAGTGGCATGAACATAAAAACTCGGGGGTCCGCGCGGATTTCTCGGATCGGCGCTGGGGCCCCCCGACGGCGCCTCCGGCGCCGCCCCTGGCGCGCTCCGCGCGCCAGGGAGGGGGGTCCAGCGCCGATCCGAGAAATCCGCGCGGACCTGCGAGTTTTTATGTTTGTGACACCTTTTGTTCCCCTATAAACGCAATCAAAAATACTTCAATATTGTCAACACACTCTCGAAAAATCGTGCCCAGACTATTTTTGACTATTTTGGAACATTCCAGGGACGTGCACGACTTGGCACCAAGAGGGCACTCCGCCGAAGGGTCGATCGTGAGCGCAGCCGAGAGGAGGGCGGAGGCAGGCAGCGGCGCCCGAGCGGCCCTCAGGCTCAGCGCGATGCCCGGGTCGGACGAGGGGGAGAGTCAAGGGGAGGAGGAGGGGGAGGAGGGGAGAGGAGGAGGAGGAGGAGGAGGAGGAGGAGGAGGAGGGAGGAGGAGAGAGGAGGAGGAGGAGGAGGAGGAGGAGGAGGAGGAGGAGGGGAGGAGGAGGAGGAGGAGGAGGAGGAGGAGGAGGAGGAGGGGAGAGGAGGAGGAGGAGGAGGAGGAGGAGGAGGAGGAGGAGGAGGAGGAGGAGGGGGAGGAGGAAATCGGGGTGGGGGGCCCACCAGATGAAAGCTTGTGGCCCCCGCCCGGGGCTTCCCCCCCTCGGGCGGGCCCAGCCGACGGGCCCCCCCCCGCGCCGCCCCGCCCCCTCGAGATTCGCCACCGGCCCCGGGGTCGACGGCGCATGAGCCACTCGACGGACCTGGGCCTCGGCTCGGTCCGGGATGGCCGGTCGGCGCGGCGCCTCTGCCCCGTCCCCTCGCGGGAGCTGGACCCCCGTTCGCGGGGGGGGGCAGGTCTCCGACGAGCCTGGGCCTTCCCCAGCTGGGCGCTGCCCCTGAGGGGGGGGTCCGCCTCGCTCGGGGGTGCGCGGCCTGGCCCCACTCAGCCTGCCTCGGGCTTCCTCGCTTCCCCTTTGGTTCCTTGGACGTGGCTCCTGGCTGCTCTCCTCGGGATGGTTTGGGGGAGCGAAAAACCACATGATAAACATAAGCTTTTGAAGGTCCGCGCGGATGTCGTAGATCTGCGTCGGACCCCCCTCCCCGGAGCGCGGAGCGCGCCAGGGGCGGCGCCAGAGGCGCCGCCGGGGGGGCTCAGCGCGGATGCAAGGAATCCGCGCGGAGCGCAAAAAGAGTATGTTTAGGGCGCTGTCTCTTCTTCGATCTGGTTCCGTGGTGTCTCGGACGTAGCTCTTGGCTGCTCTCCTCGGGGCTGCTGGCGTTGGTGCCTCGGTTCCTTGGTGCTTTGGTCCTGGTCCTCTGGCCCTGGCTCCCCGGACAAGACTCCGTGCTGCCTTGGTTCCTCGGTCTTGGCTCCCTGCCGCCTCGCCACGCAGTTTCACTCGATGCCAAGCACTGCCAAGCAATGCAACCCAACGCAAAGCGATGCCAAGCAACGCCAAGCAACGCCAATTGACGTGCACGGCAATGCCGAGCACTGCCGAGCAATGCGAAGCAGTGCCAAGCAATGTCAAGCAATGGCAAGCAATGGCAAGCAACGCCAAGTAACAAGTCCAGGCAATGCCAGACAATGCGTTGTCTTGCACTGCTTGGCGTTTATCAACGGCTTTTAGGGTCGCGCTGGGTTTATTTCAACCAGCTTCTTGTTCCTCAATGTCGGCCCTCTGGGGGCGGTGTGAGGCGGCGGATCGAAAACACAGATCGGCGGATGTCAGGGGGGGGCAGCAGAGGGTGGATAAAAGCGAACCTACACACGCACAGCAGGTTCGTGTCGCTACGACCTGCGCGCTGGCTTCTAGCGCCGCGTGGATCGTTCAACCCTGGATCGTTCAACCCTTGTTGATCGGGCTTTCTTGCGTCGCCCTGGCACGAGCGTTGCAGGCGCGAAGCGCGCGAAGCGTTGTCTTCCTCCTGCCCGCGCTGCCGCGCTGATCTTCGGTTGCTGTTGTGAAACGGCCGCGAGTGAAATGCAGGCGGTTCCCCAGCGGGCTTCCCGGAGGAACAGGAGCCGAACGATCGCGGCTTTCCGACAAAGCGGCTCGTTCGGCAACGGCCGACTGCAGGCCACTGGTGGCGATCAGCCCTGCACGCCCGCGCTGGAGCCGCCGAAGCGGCATGCGCCAGGGGACGCGCCACGCGACGTGCAAGGGGGACTCGACAAGGGACGCCCCACGGAACGTGCCAAGGAACGTGCCAAGTTGCAATGCTGAATGTATCGATCTTGATGTACCGTGCCGAAGCCTGTGCTGTGCTGCGCTGTGCTGAATTGCGATGTGCCATGCCGCGACTGTGCTCTATAGCGTTGTGGATAGAGTCCCCCTTTGCATCCGAGTCCTGACCGAACTGATCTGGATCTTAAGCTCGAGCTGCCTAAGCACATAGTAGCTGCCACAGAGCTAATTGACAGGGGGACATGCCAGGAGGACGCGCCGCGGAACGTCTCAAGGGACGCGCCAAGCGACGTGCCAGGGGACGTGCCATGGGGACGCACCGCGGGACGTGCCAAGGGGACGCGCTACGGAACGTGCTGGGGACAAGCGTTTCGCTCGAGACATCCTGTCAACATCCTCATGCTAGACATCCGCCTGAGCGACCTGGACACGTGAAAACAAACGTTTCGCTCAACACATCCTCAACACATTCTCATGCTAGACATCCGCCTGGGCGAACTGGACACGTGAAAACAAGTGGTTCGCTCGAGACATCCTCAACAAACCTTCATGTGAGACGTCCGCCTGGGTGACCTGGGCACGTGAAAACAAGCGTTTCGCTCGAGACGTTTTCAAGTTGAAAACGTCTCGCTCGAGACATCCTCAACACATCTTCATGTTAGACATCCGCCTGGGCGACCTGGACACGTGAAAACAAGCGTATCTCTCAAGACATTCTCAAAACATCCTCATGCTAGGCATCCGCCTGGGCAACCTGGACACGTGCAAACAAGCATCTCGATCGAGACTTCGTCAACACATCCTCATGCTAGACATCCGCCTGGGCGACGAGGACGTGTGAAACCAAGCGTCTCGCTCGAGACATCCTCAGCAAATCCTGTCGCTAGACATCTGCCTGGGCAATCTGGAGGCGTGAAACCAAGCGTCTCGCTCGAGACATCCTCAAGACCTGGGCACGTGAAAACAAGCATTTCACTTCAGAGCTCTGAATTCTGGTCCCCAGGAGAGGACAATCTATAACACAAACAAAAATCGTTTCGCTCGAGACGTCCTCAACAAATTCTGAACAACCAGCGTTTCGCTAGGGACATCCTCAAATCAAGATTCGCCGGCCCTACGCGACCCCGTTATCAATCGCAAAAAAAAATTCGCCGGCCCTACAGCCGTCAGATCCGGGGGTAAACGCCTAAAAGAGAACCCTGGGCCTGGTAGGGGGGGGGGTAGAGGAGGGGGACGGAGGAGAGAGGGGAGGGAGGAGGAGGGAGGAGCGAGGAGGAGGAAGGAGGAGGGAGGAGCGAGGAGGAGCTAGGAAGAGCGACGACGTTCACGATTTCTTCGATCTGTGCTGGACCTCCCCTCCCTGGCGCGCGGAGCGCGCCGAGGGCGGCGCCGCCAGGCGCCGCCGGGCGCCGAGGCTCCGACAGTGCATGTTGATACCATTTTCTCTCCTTCGACTCTCGGAGGCCCAGACTCTCCAAATCTCCCCCCCTCCGGGCGACCCGAGATTCGGGGGCGTCCAAGAGGAGGGCGTCCATGAAGGGGTGGGGCGCAAATCATGGCCTGCGGCATGTGCGCGGCCTGGGGGGGGGGGCCAGGGACGTGTTTAAATAAGAAGAGGCGAAATGACATCTGGGGAGGTATCATGGCCCCCGCCATGCTATCTACCCCCCTCTAGTCATCACCCCCCTCTCCGCCGCCCCCGAGAGATGATGGAGTCGTCGAGCACGTCCACTGCCTCCGCCTGGGGAGGCCAAAAAAGACCGATACCGCTACTCCCCGGACCTATCCCGGGGTGCGCTCTGACTGAGACCTCGAGGCGAACCCAACGGTGGCGACGAGGGCCTCCGAGGAGGTCCAAACATGATGGACCCACGAACCCGGAAAGGGATATAGACATGTGGAGCACGGTCACGTTTTCACGATACCCAACTGGGCGACACCTCAAGAAACATCCCACGAGACACCCCGCGAAACATCCCACGAGACACCTCACACCATTCCACGAGACACCTCACGAAACATTCCACGCGACACCCCGCGAAACATTCCACGAGACACCCCACGAACAGGCAACCACTCAACCAAAGCACATCGCGGACGAGGACGACGACGGCATTCCACGAGACACCCCACGAAACATTCCACGGGAGTGCGACTGGGTGTGGTCGTGCTGTGGTGTGGTCGTGCTGGGGTGTGGTCGTGCTGAGGAGTGGTCGTGCTGGGGTGTGGTCGTGCTGGGGTGTGGTCGTGCTGGGGGGTGGTCGTGCTGGGGGGTGGTCGTGCTGATGGGGTGGCCGTGCTGGGGGGTGGTCGTGCTGGGGCGTGGTCGTGCTGGGGGTGGTCGTGCTGTGGTGAGGTCGCGCTGTGGTGGTCGTGCTGGGGTGTGGTCGTGCGTGCTGGGGTGGGGTCGTGCTTGGGTGGGGTCGCGCTGTGGTGAGGTCGTGCTGGGGTGTGGTCGTGCTGGGGTGGGCTCGTGCTGGGGCGGGGTCGTGCTGGGGAGTGGTCGTGCTGGGGCGTGGTCGTGCTGGGGTGTGGTCGTGCTTGGGTGGGGTCGTGCTGGGGTGTGGTCGTGCTGGGGTGTGGTCGTGCTGGGGTGGGCTCGTGCTGGGGTGGGGTCGTGCTGGGGTGTGGTCGTGCTGGGGTGTGGTCGTGCTGGGGTGTGGTCGTGCTGGGGAGTGGTCGTGCTGGGGTGGGGTCGTGCTGGGGCGGGGTCGTGCTGGGGTGTGGTCGTGCTGGGGCATGGTCGTGCTGGGGTGTGGTCGTGCTGAGGCGGCCCGCACCCTGTGATCGTGCTGATCGATCGGGATTTCAAAAACAAGCGTTTCGCCTGAGACATCCTCAAATTTTAATCCGCCGGCCTCCTTCGACCTCGATATTTATCAGGGAAAGAATCCGCCGGCCTCCTTCAAGTTGGGCACGGGGGACTATGTTTACATACTAAAAGAGAACCCTGGGCCTGAGCCCTTTCCGGGAAAAGGGGAGAACGGGCGGAGGGGGTAGAGGTTTTGGGCGCCCGAGTTATCCAGGGGGACCTCGGGTCCGGGGTAACTCGGGTGTGGATCCCCGAAACACGAACCCGAGTTAGCCCTGACCCGAGTTACCCCTGCTGATTCGGGGCTCTGAAGCTCTTCCTCCTGCCTCCGCCGGGTCCTCCGAGTCGTGGCCGTCGGCGGAGGAGCCGGCCGCGGCCGCGGCCGCCTCCGCCGCGGCGGGCGCCGCCGGCGCGGGCGCCGCAGCGGCGCGCGCGGAGGCCGCGAGCCGGGGCGCAGGCGCGGCGGCCGCGCCGCCACCTCGCGCGGAAGCCAGCGCGGCGCGCAGGCGCTCGCACTCCTGAGGCAGAGGGAAGAGAGGACCATGCACATGCACCGATGCTGGCCAGGCCCAACCCTGAGCCCAGGATCGGTGCATACGCCCTCTTACCTCGGCCAGGAAGGTACTTGTATGCTCCGATCCTGGGTCCAGGATGGGCGCTGTCAGGATCGGTGCATGTGCATAGTCCCCTTCCCCGGATGAGGGGCAACGCTTTTTGCTTTGAGGGGGAAGAAGCGATCGGACATCCCCGCGATAGCCTTCACCCTTCACTAGCGGCGCGCAGGAGATGCTGTGTGCAACAGGCGGGGGGGGGGGGGGAAAGCCAGGCAACCAACCAATTCTGAGGCCAGAGTACACATGCCTTTGGAGTCCCGAAGCACAGCGGTGACAGCCCGTGCGGTGACCTCAAAATCCCCCAAGACCTCACCGCACGGTCCGTCAACGCACGGTTTTAGGACCTCGGATGCCCGAGTCGCCCGAGACGTCCTCGGAGAACGACACGAGTCCCAAAACCGTGCGGTGACCCCGGATCCCCACCGACTCACCACACGGTGTGGTCACCACCTTGTTTGGGGGCCCCGAAGCCTGTCGGAGAAACAAATTCGCACCGGGATCAGGACATCACGGGGCAACGTGTCACACGTGGGGACCCGCTCAGGGGGAAAAAAGCATCCAGCGTGCACCGGCGGTGCACCGCCGACAGGTCGGCGACAGGCCCCCGGACAGCGAGTCCGCGCGCTCTCCTGGGCCAGGGTGGGCTGTCGGACCTTTCGCGGCGGTCCATGGGCGCTTCCCTGAGATCCTGGCGCTGCAATCTTTTTTGCTATACGGGCGTTCCGCTCCCTGTTCGGGCCCAGAGACCCTCGCGGATCGACCCGGCTCGAGAAAGGACGCGGAAAGACGGGGTCCAGGGCTCTGGTCGTGATTTTCTCCGATGTTGCTATAGTTTTGCACCGTCGGATCTCAGCGATCGGACCTTTCTCGGCGATCCATGGGCGATGGGGGGCCGAGGCGTCTGCCGCACAGCGTTGTCCGTCTTAGCCTTCGGGGCGTATACCTCGCGTCTCCGGCGGGCGCTCGGGGACGACCTGGAAGTACGCCCGGGACGCTGTGTCGGCGAGGCGCGGCTGCTCGTCCGAAAACCTCGCGCCCTCGAGGCCGAAACCTTCCCCCCCGAGCCAAACCCAGACCCCCGACGTCGTGACTTTTTCGCAACGTCCACCCCCAAAGGTCTGGACCCCTTCCCGGGACCGGTTTTTCATCCTGGATCGTTTTGTTGACGATCCCGAGACCTGGCGAGGGCACCCGGAGGCCGAAAATGCCGAAAAACCTCCCGTCGTGAGTTTTGTCACAACGCGAGGGGGCCTGGGAACGCTGGCCCCGCAGTAGGGGATCGAGCTCCATACACCGACGCTTCTTCCGGCCCTGCATTGGAACTTGCTCTGGAGAGCGGATTCTGGTGTATACGGGACCCTGGTGTATACGCTTTTCCTTGCTTCCACGGGACATCGGGGGAACAGATATACACCACACCACCCCAGCGTCGTCCTCGGTCCTCAAAAAAGTCCTGGGACTGAAAGACAGCCAGCCACTGGCCATGTCTATGTTCCAGCTGCCCCCCCGAAGTCCTCCCGGGCCGCCGCCTCGGCGCCCCGGACGCGCGCCTCGCACCGGGCCACCTCCGCCGCGGCCGCCTCCGCGCCCGCGGCCCACGCCCGCGCCGAGCCCACCGCCACCTTCAGCCGCACGTGCTCCCTCTGCGCCGCCTCCTCGGCGCTCCTGGCTCCTGCGGCGCTCGGAAGCTGGGCGAGGGCTGCTAAAACCGTGGCTGCGAAGGCGGCCCTCCCGGAAGGGAAAAACAACTTCCCGGAAGGAGGCGCGGCACGCGAAACCGTCGACGGGCTTCTTCCCGGGAGGACGAAGACAACTTCCCAGAGGTCGATTTTAGCAGCCACGGATTTAGCAGCCCTTGCCCAGCTTCCGAGGCGCGGCCCCACCCCGAGATCCTGGCGCTGCAACTTTTTTGCTGCGGGCGCTCTCGCTCCCTGTTCGGGCCCTCAGGGGCCCTCGCGGATATGGAGCCGGCTCGAGGCATGGCGCGGAAAAAGGCGGGGTCCAGGGCTCTGGCCGTGATTTCTGCTTGCGGTGTTGCCATGGTGCTGCCACGTCGGACCTCAGGGCAGGGCCTCCCAAGACGGGATCCCGAGTCGGCCCGAGAGGCTCCCGAGGCGCCCCCCCGAGGACGGCCTCGGGGGCCCCAAGACGGCTGGAGAGTTCGGTCGGGCCTGTCCCCCTGCAGGGGGATTTCGGATGACAAATACAAGACAGCCGCAAAAAAAAATCCGAAGATGCCAACAAAAAGTCAAACAATCGTCCCCGGCTCTTTTTTCTCTCATGATGTCTGAGTTTTCCTCTGCAGGGAGGGACGTGCCCGACGTAACGCCAGAGGGAGGGCTCAGAGAGCCTGGCCTCGAGTCGGCTGCACGCAAGGAGGGACCCTACTGGCCAGGAGTGAGCCTCGGCGCGCGGCGCAGCGGGGGCGCGGGGTGGCCGACGCCCGGCGCGCGAGCCGCCGCTGCCGCCCCGAGCCCCGCGATCGGCAGACCCAGAGATCCGACGTTGCAACAAACTGGCAACGACACCGCCACAAAAATCACGGCCAGAGCCCTGGGCCCCGCCTCTCCGCGCCACCCCTCGAGCCGGATCCACCCGCGAGGGCCCCCGAGGGCCCGAACAGGGAGCGACAACGCCCGCATAGCAAAGAAGAGTTGCCACGCCAGGATCTCAGGGGGAGGTCTCTCTCGGGCGAAGTGTTTGTTATGTGTGTTGTGTGTGAGAGAGGGAGAGAGAGAGAGAGAGAGAGTTCTGTGTGTTATGTGTGTGTTGCACGTCGGGGCTCGATGTTGGGAGGACGTCTCAAGCGAAGCGGCAAGAATCGGTATTAGGGTCACTCCTAGGCGCAGCCGGCCGAAGTGTGCCCCCGAGGATCCGAGGTGCCTGTGGCTCCCGCGGCGGCCACGCCGCAGGCCCCGGCGCCCGCGGCGGCCTTCGGCGCGAGAGCGGCGGCGGACCGTGCGGAGGGAGCACCCAGCCGCGGCTGGTGCACGGCTGCCGGGCGCTGCCAGAGGTGCTCCTGGCCCAAGGTGAACCCAGCTGTCGCCACCCTCTCGGGGCCCTCTGGGGCCCTCGGCCATACGCTCACGAAACGCATGCGCACTACCAGCTGAGCTAAGAGGAGGCGCTTCTTCTCGACCTGTGCGTGTCGTCCTTGCGCAGGGGCCGGGCTAATCTTCTCTGGATCGTTCCGATTTCAGCGGATGATCCCCGAAGGGAATCCGGGGCCTCGCGAAGGGGTGCTTTGGACACCACCTGGGCTTCGCCACCAGCTGTCGCCGCCATCGTCAGGTCTTCTGGGGCCCTCTGTGCCTCGAGACCCAGGCCAACGACCCCCGAGTCGCTCTTTGACGCTCCCGAGGCCCCGGGGGGGGGCCCCGGAGGCCGAAAACAATTCCAAAAAACCTCCCGCCGTGACCTGTTTTGCATTACCCGAGGGGGTCGGGGAGCAGGGGCGCTCTGGAGGCCACCTGGGCCTGGCCCTGGGCATCCTGGGAAGTGGAGGAGGAGGAGGAGGAGGAGGAGGAGGAGGAGGAGGAGGAGGAGGAGGAGGAGGAGAAGGAAGAGGAGGAGGAGGAAGAGGAGGAGGAGGAAGAGGAGGAGGAGGAGGAGGGGGAGGAGGAGGAGCAGGAGGACAATTGTTCCTCGGGGGCCCCCTAAGCAGAACGTACACCGCCTGATACCTACAACAGATTGGCGGCAGCAGCACCAGCCGCAGCCTCCTCTTTGGCATTGATTCTGGCCGCCAGCGCCTCCATCCCAGGCGATTGGATGAGGCGAGTGGCAGAGCAGGCGAGCCGCACGGCAGGCAATGACGCCTGTTGCATCACCTCCCGCGCCGCAGCTCTGCAAACAAGGGTGCGGCCAGCAGACACTCCGAGATCCCTCCTGTAGTGGGGATATCGACCTTGTGCAAGCAAGGACAGCGCAGTGCGGCCACCGGGCCTCGGCTTCCCGGTGCAGGTGCCCCCTAGCTTGAAGCACCTCAAGCTCGTGTAAGCACCGCAGCGAAAACAGAAACGCATAGGGCGCATTCCGTCATCCTGCACAGTCGTAGAGCATAGCAAATGGCCTCTTACAGCCTCCGCATCCTGCACACGTCGCGAGGCTGTGGACAGGCCAGGACACTGAAGCATGGGCCGAACTTCATTTCATCATACGGAAATTTCAAACAGCGCGAGCACCGAACAACAGTCTGCGATGGCTCGGCCGTCTCAAGCGGAATCCAGTCGTGCCACCTGTGGGCTCGCAGGGTTCTGGACCTCGGCCGCGTGCGGTCCCGACGAAAAAACAAGTTTCGGGAAGACCGGCAGGAGAGCAGCAAACAGTTGCACCAGCTTGGTAAGCGTCGAGCACGTCTCACCAAGTTGGCGGGAAACATCATCAGGCATCTGAGGGTGCAAAGTCATCGCGCGCTTCGCCAGGCGATCTGCGTCCTGATTCATCAGGGCAACCTTTCGCTCGTAGGCAGGGAGCGCTGCGATCACCTCATAAAACCTGCGTGCTGGCGCGCGAGACGCGGAAGCAATCGACGAGTACCCTTCCTCAGCCACCGCCCGACCCCGAAGTCCCGCCAAGACCTTGTCAGGCGCCACCTGGAGATGGGGGGGAGATTCTGTAAACGCACGACGCCCAGGCAGTCACTGTGAGTCTGACTGGGTTTCCCGAAAAATCGCTGGGTTGGCCGAGCCGTCAACCACGATGTCGCAGTTGGCCGCGCGGGCGCAAAAAGCAGCAACATCGAATGGTTCCCCATTGGGCCCATGAAGCACAGGGTCATGATCCAAATTGGGAGGGGG